GTTTTTATTTTTTAATTATTTTCGCCAATATCTTTTTCAATTTTCTTGTTATTATTTCTTCTATTCATACTATAAATTAACAAAACCGGGAACCTTAAAGTTCTCCACACATTTATTTTATTTGATCTGAAGAATATCATAAACTGCTCTACAATTACCAGTTTTTTATAATAGCTATTTACAATGTGGATAAACAAATAATTAACTAATCTTTTTTTCTTTATAATTTAATTACAGTTGCCCCTAAGCCTTGACCAGTGCAAAGTGTTGCTCAAATGAAAACAAGAATAAATCAAAATAAACAAACAAACAAAAGTGTATAAAAAATTAACAGAAAGCGAGTCGGAGAGATGTGAATAACTTTTTAGTAGGGGATAAAACTGTGATAAACGAAACGCGCAGCGGAGCAATTAAATGCGAGATAATATACAATTTTAATAAAAATAAAAGCCGCAGCAAATTAAAAGGGGAGCATCGCTAACTAGCAACAGCAACAGCAACAGTTGCAGCAGCACTAAAAGTAATTAGCGACAGCAACAACTGCAGAGGAAGACCGAACTACAAAGTGTGTGCGTGTGTGTGTGTGTATAAGTGAGAGAAGGAGAAGCAATAATAATAAAAAGGTGAAATAAAACAAATGATGTTGCAATCCTTGAAACAACGCACGGACAAACTCAGCGGCATTCCAGCAACAACAGCAACCAGCGGCACAGTGGCAACTGCTGTGACAGCAACAGACACAACAACAACAACAGGAACAACAACAACAACAACAGGAACAACAACAACAACCACATCGACAACAGCAGCAACAACAACAGCAACAACAATGCTAACAACAGCACCTGTTGCACTTGTCGCTAATGGTATGGCCAATGGCAGCAGTCTCTATAACGGCAGCAACAACAATTTGCAACAGCAACAACAACAGCAACAACAGCAACCAGTAAAGTATTTAGAAAATCTAACGCCTGCCACGGGCGCCATTGCGACGGCAACAACTTTTACAGGTGCTGCGAAAAGTTTTCATCCATATTTGCGGCCCAACAGCAGCATACCAACAGCAGCAACAACAGCAGCAGCAGCAACGACAATGACCAAAACTGCTGGCGGCGTTGGCGTCGGCATGTCGACAACATTGTTCGAAACACTTTTGCACAACCAAATAAATTCCAATGCAAATGCAGCCGCCCTCCTACCAGCCGCAGCAGCAGCAGCAGCAACATCAACTGCAACAGCAGCAGCAGCAGCAGCAGCAGCGGAGCCAACGCAAGCGGCAGCAGCTGCAACCGCAGCAGCACCAACAGCAACAGCAGCATCAGCGACTGCAACATCGACGCTGCTAAATTCCAGCATTAATTCCAGAACTTCATTAGCCGAGCAGAGCGCCAGCGGCACCACAAATTGGTGAGTCACGCCTACCCAGCACCGCCTCCATTCGGTTGCGTTACTTAACTTTTTTTTCGCCTAATGACTGCAAATTGCATTCGAATGATTTGTTTGTTTTGGTCTCCTCGCCTGGCTTAACGCGAACTTTATCTATTTAGTCGACGAGTTCTTTAAAGTAGGCTATAGAAATTTATATTTTATGTTGGCGTGAAGCGAACTGTATAAAAGTAAAATAGAGCTTTATTATCTGGAGTTAAAGCAGGAAATTGTAGAGCTAGAATGTGGGATATTAATGCAAAAGTATTGGCATGTACTTTGTGAAATTTAGCCTAGAGCTTGTAATCCCTGAAGTGGTATATAGTCAACAGTATATAGTCGACAGTATATAGTCAACATTTCTGTTTCCTTTCCATATATAAAAGTTTGGGGCCTCTGGGCCTAGGATCAAGAGATGATACAAAATAAAATACAAATGCAAAGATTGACTAGCCACATCGTAGATGACTCAGGCGCCACCAACACCAGATCTACTATAGTGGAAATGCTTTACAAACTATTAAATATCTCCTTATAATTTATCTATGATAGTTGAGCCCCATAACTATTTCTTCTATCAAAATCCTTCAATACGAAATTTATCATTCCAATAAAATACAAAAACATGTTAAAAAGTTAACTTATGTTGCTCAAAACTTGAATATATAGTTACCTATAAATATATGATGGAATACCGGAAATCATTTTAAATCTCACAGCTCGCCAGTTCCTTGACAATTGATATTTAATATTTGATATTTGATTGATTTGATAATGCACTTCTGATTGCTATAAATCAAGCCATAAGTTTTGCCATTATCTATAGAGTGCTGACTCGGTATATCTATAAAGCCTCCACTCGGTATTTGCACAACGTATCGAGTGTTGCCATTAGCACTCATCAAATATTAAGAGCTCTTCTCTTACCCAATTATGTTAAGGGCTAAAAATAGTTGCATCCCCGCACACTCCAGCTCTGGTCCATTTCGCTGCATTCAGAAACTTCAATAATTTAGCTAATTTCTTATCAATTTGCATATTAGCTAGATAGATATAAATTTCAATTTCCTTTCCGCGAAATATCCAAAACCCTCGACGCTATCGAATTTCAAATTGTTATGCCATGGCCCGCTGCATCATTTCCCATTACGACAAGTTCCTTTGCCCGGAAATTATAAGAAGAAGAAAAAAAAAATAGAGGAAACCAGAAGCAGGAGGCAGCCGTGGCAGCAGCTCAAGTGAACTGTCCATTTGGTTGGCAGGCATTTTTGAGCGGGTGGCCCACAGAGCGAAGCGAATCGAATGGAATCGATTCAATTAAAATAAGTGACAACGTGCCGAGTGCCGAGTCTTTGGTCGCTGCTGACTAACGATAATTGGCATTGCATTAAGTTTATTAATTGGCAAATGGGGGCAGGTCGCAGCGTCATCACGGCTAATGATCATTGACAGCCGCTGCTAATGAAAACATTACATTATCTGCACCGCCTATGATGATAATGATGATGATGCTGATTACGATGATGATGATGATGTTGTGGTTGATAAGACAACGTGACAAGCTGTAATGCAGATAGAGCATAGCTGCAGCCCCCCGATGGGCAACAGTTATTTGCCCCACTCTCTCTCACTCATTCTCATTTCCCTCTCTCTCTCTCTCTATCTGCTTCTCTGTTGTCATTTTTGCTACAGCGTGTTGCGCTGCCATTAAATAATAAAGCAAGAATATTAAATTTATGTTGGGTCATTTTTATGCGCCTTGCTGCAATCGCCCACTCCTGCTACTTGGCTGTTATCCTGCTGTCTCGGCGACTCTCTCTGTGTCACTAGCGTCCTCTATCTTGCGCCGTGAACTGTTTGTTTTTGTTGTGACAGGCGCGACATAACAAACTGCCATCATAAATTAAGTGCCGCGTCACGGCTTTGTCGGCGCCAGCATTGACGTGGCGTGGGCGTGGCCAAAAAGGGCGCTGCATAGATAGCAAGAGCACGAGAAGGAGCAGCAGAAGCAGCCGCCGCATCCACTTGAATGGCAGCGCATGTGGCAGCAGCCTGCAGCAGAAAACATTTTACCGCGCAATGCCGAGCCACAAATCGAGCCACAGCAATCCAACACCTGCCCGGCCTAAGCTCAAGCAAATCCCAGTGCGCGCCCGCCGCAGGCAATTTTCTCATTAAGCTGCGGCGCATTTAAATGAAACTGAATTAGTAATGCGAAGAAAACCAGCGAGCCGAAGACGCAAGTCGCTCCCAGCTGCCAGCAGGCAGCAGGCAGCAACTGTTGCCGGCTTGAGCAGTTGCTGCCGGTGCTGGTTGCCCTCGTCGCATCGCAGCTCCCATGAGAGCAGCCATTGCGCGCCGCTGACTCTCTGATGGATTTCCCAGGCGGCAGTGCGACTTTGAAAGCGAAATAATTGCCTGCGGGGCAACAGCGACACCTGTCGCGCACCTGTAGGCCCCCTCCCGCCCCATCCGCCCCTCCGGCTCGTTGAACGTTTTTATTTAAAGCGCGCGCCCCGAAAAGTAGGCAACAGAAAATTGCGTGCTGGGCGCAGATTTTGATTTATGCCTGCCAGGCCGGGCCAGCTTTGATACCCAGTTGGCTGCGCTGCCACTGCTGCCTGGCCCGCCCATTGGCCTACTTTGCATTTGACTTGTGGGCAATATTTATCACCTTGACACTGGACTATTTGGCAGCGACACGCTCCGCCTCTAATAGATTATGTTCGTTTTGTCCTTTGCCGCCCTCGGGCATTGTCGCGCTCAATAAATATAAGAAAGTAGGCGTGCCCGTTGACATCCTTGGAGAGCCTCATTCAGCTCGTAAATTCCGCTGGCACCAGGTTCATAAATGCTGCGCGCCTGAAAGCAAAATTAAGCTAGATAGCATCTGAATTGGATAATATCCGGAATGGCGAATAGCTTAATTCATTTAGCAGTTGCGGAGGATTGTCGGAGAAGGGAAGGTCAGACGTAAGACTTTTAAATTTCCTAGATAGACCAAATATTAGAATTGCAAATAAGTGAGAGCTTTAGTTGAATAAGCATTAAGTTAGCTTAACTCTGAGATAGACGTTATAAAAGATAAGTGAATGAAAGCAAATGTAAATACAAAGTACATATAAATTTCTTGTATGATTAAAATGAATTGATAAATATGTGTAACTACGATCAAATATATGTTAATAATTCATTTTTAAAAATATTTTTAAAAATATATGAATATAAAATTTAAAAGATATTTCATATTTAAAATAAATTTATATAAATTTTGATTCACGCGAAAAAATTGCTTAAATTAATTTATAATATAAATACATTTTTAGCATAAACATTTTTTGATTGTGTTGACTTGATACCTCAACTTAATTAAATATATAGTTTTTTTTTCAATTTTAATCAAATATTTATTACATTAACCTCAACTTGAGCCAATATAATTTTACCAAACTCCTTATTAAAAGTGACTTATTTTATTAATAAACCCCTTTTTCTGAATCTCTAATTAGAATGGGTTTCCCTAAATATCCAATTCACTTGGAATTCTCTTCAATAAAATGAAAACCAATTAGATTTCAAATTTATTGCTTCGACTGCTTGACAATTTGAGCTTATTTGCTAAAGCAGCTTGTTTGTTTGTTTGTTGTGGCTAATTGTGTTGTTGTTATTGTTGTTGGTATTGTTATTGTGGCCGTTGCTGTTGACATCAAGCAAAAGTCAATTTCGTGTGGCCATCAACAACACCCAATAAAATCCCAAAATATAGAAAGAGCGAAACATACAAAAACTCGAACTGAAGTAACCAAGTGAAGCCACAAATGGACCATTCAATGCACACACACACAAGTCACACACACACACACACATACACATTAAGGCGCGGGTGGTGGTCAACCACAGAGAAACAAAGTAAAAACGCTTACAACTTTTTAGATTAGATTAGTTTGCTAATAACAATTAGTATTTGTATTTTATGCACTGCGCAGCTTCGCCATCTCTCTCTCTCTCTCTCTCTCTTTCTCTCTGTCCCTCGCTCTTTCTCTTTTGATACGCCCACACATATCGAGCTCTCATTCACGCCTCACCAAGCATTGTTGTCCAGCTTGTTGTTTTTTATTGTCATTAGCAAATGAAGTTAGCAAACAGAGAGCGAACGAGTGGGTAGAAGCAAAGCTTTGTTTTAGCCATGTTCAATATGTTGGCCATAAAAGTTCAATGGAAACTTTTTTTGGCCAGCAACTTCTATAGATATGAATGTCTGTGTGCGTGAGTGTGTGTGTGAAAATTGCCTGATTTATAATGACTTTATTTTTGTGGCTTTTGCAGCGACTCGAATGGCGCTGAGACGGAGACGCAGCAGCCGGACTCTCTGCCCGCCATTAAGTGCGAGGCAACGGATGCCATGGAGACTACAACGGCTGGCGATACGGAACTGGCCAAGGATCAGCCGGATGCGGACAACATTAAAATGTTTGTGGGGCAGATACCCAAGACATGGGATGAGCTCAAATTGCGACGCCTGTTCGAGCAGTTCGGACGGGTCCACACGCTGAATGTGCTGCGAGATAAGGTCACATCGATTAGCCGAGGTGAGTGCACGCATATAAATGTGCGGATTAATTGGCGAACGGGGCCCTAGGGGAGACCATCTCTGCTCCTCGCTACATCTCTCCTCCTCTCTCCAGCTCAGCCCTACTCCTTTTCCTTCTCTTTCTCTGGCCCCCTCTCAATGGTTTTTAACAACGCCCGTAAATTCCGAGGCGCACCCTTTTAAGCCAGGTGCGGGGCCTTACTTAACATCAAGTAATATGATTATGGCGAGCACACACAACAACATTAGGGCTAACACCTTCCACGCTTCAGACCAGGTGTTGACTCGCAACTTTTTTTTCCTCTCTCTCTCTCTCTCTCTCTCTCTTTCTCTCTGCCAGCCTCGATGGTAATTGGCCATAATTGCCACACACACATAGACACACACACGCACGCACACACATCGAGCTGGATTAATTCTATTGGGTATTTGAATAATTTGGGCATTTGCTTGCAAACTTTTATGAAATGTTGAAATTGTATTATGCATATTTATGGCCAGGCGTGCTGTTGCCTCTCAATGATCGGATATACTTATAGTTGCGGCTCCGCCACCTCTCCTTCTCCTTCTCATTCTCCTTCTCCATCTCCACCTTCTTCACATGAGCAGATTAGGCTTATGGCAGCATAAGAGTTGTTTGTGGCCAGGCTTAATACACGTTGAGTATGAGTGAAGGTAGTGTAAGGCGATTACCGTCGACGCTGAGATGTTAAGGCTTGAAGCGTGCAGCAAAGCCATTAATAAATAAGCAATCGTATATCGATTTATACAGCTTTCAGGAAATTTCGATAAATACAAAATTGATGAATGCTTTATGGTAGAAGCTTTTATCTAATGTGTTGTTATCCGATTTCGATATGAATAATTTTTGCATTAAATATATTTTATTTATTTATT